GCGGCGGCGACGGCCTGACCCGCAGGAGCGGCGGGCCAGCCGGGGGGCGGCCCGGGAGGCGGCGGGCGCAGGCCGCGGGAGCGCGGGGCTGGGGGACGCGAGGATGGTGGGTCGGGGCTTGGAGAACGGAGAATGACGGGGGCGGCGGAGGCGAGCGGGCGGCCTCCGAGGCCTGCGGTCGGTGTCGGGTAGGAAAGAGGTGGGATGCACGCGGGGAGGCCTTGGGGTGCCAGGCTGTGGGCGAGGAGGCCGGCCAGACCCCAGGGCTCTCCACCGTCTTGGTGCAGTGCATTATGCACCGCAGGCCTCGGTCGCTCTTGCTGCCTCGGTGGCTGCAGGGAAGGGCAGGGGCTGGTGAAAGGGGATTGCTTGCAGGAAGCATAGTGGGAGTGCGAAAGGGGCCGGAGGGAAGATGCCGGATAGGTGGAGGAATGCCGGGGGTGGCTGTGGAGCAGTCTTGAGGATTCTGGGGGTGTTCATTGTGCAGATATGTTAGGTGTTTCATTATGGAAAGAACCGAAGCGTTTCCAAGGCAAAGGAAGAAGGCTAGAGTAGTTTCTGCGGATACAGGGAAGAGCGTTTGAAGCCAGAGGAGTGCTAAATATTGGAGAAGATGCAGGGAATGCATAATAGAATAGACAGATGTAGCATAATTATCAAATGCTGGCCCAAGGTCTAAAGAGTTATTCCAGATGGGCCAGAGTGGCCTAGTTCGGAACCTGTTTGGGCTCTTCAGTAGATGACATCCGGTAAGTGTGGGTCCCCGCTTGGTTGGGGTCATTGAGAATTAGTTACTTAGCCTGTAGATTGGTTTGAGACATTTTAGTGCCGCACTAGTGAACTGAAAAATCTTTGAAAGAGACCTTGAGAAACCGCCTGGCCTATGGGAATCCTTGAGGCCACGGAGTTAAGAATTTTAACAGATTGCGAGTATTGTTTGTTACCGGAGGACGGATGAACACTGCCCTGGCAGACACTGGAATAGGAATTAACTTGGCCTGACGGTTTTCTTCTTCACTGCCTAGCTTATATGGTTCCAGAAGAGCTGGTGCCGTATTTCAGCCTAGGCTGCAGGACACAAGATTATAATTGTCCGCGTCGAGAGTTGGTGCATTATAGTCTGGTCTTTGGAGGCTCCATTTGTGGCCCAAAGAAATCTAGTTGAATTGGTTCTGTACCTCGGGTTGGCGGGAGATCCTTTTCCATTCACAATTCCGGATGTACTCTATCACGGAGGCATGGTGTTATTAAAGAAAATAACATCTGCAAGCAAAATGTAGGCACAGAGGATCTAGAATATCTGTGTTGATCTTAGCGTATAAGGAGGTCAGGAGTGGTTATCATGATGCCTAAGGAAACCTGAAGTGATCGGATGAGTATAGGTCTGGTGAGGAGGGACAGTTCTATGTTAGGAAACCCAAGTTCTTTTTGTTGCATTTACTGAATGCACAGTAGACCATATTTTTCAAGAAGGAACACTGGATGAGGACAATGTCTTGTCTTTTTTTTTTTTTTTCGAGGCAGGGTTTCTCTGTGTAGTTCTGGCTGTTCTGGAACTCACTGTTGTATACTAGACTGCCTCAAACTCATGGAGATCCACCTTCCTCTGCCTCCTTAAAGGCATGTGCCACTGCCAGGCTAGAACAATGTGTTAAATTCTATTTGGATAGTATTCATCTTTTGTTATTAAAAGATATTACATAATATGTTGTGATATCACTTTAACTGAAGAGAAGATGAGTATGTTAAATGTGGCAAATCATTTTTATGGAAGTTGAAGGAAAAGAGAATCAGGGGGAGAATGGAGTGAGATTTGGGAGAGGGAAGGCAAACTCAGGTATCGTCCATTCCTTTAGCCAAGGTGCTACTTAATACTTAAGGCGGGGAGATTAATTTTTCTTATAGAAATAACTGGAATTTTTATTTTAAAAAAACGGAAAATTTCCTGTCAGCACATTTAGATTTTCTCACTTTTAAAGATTTTTATTTTTATTTATGCATATTTATTTGTCTGTATGGCGTATGCCATGGATGTGAAGGTAACCAAGGATGTTAGAAGAGAGTGTTCGCTCCTCTGGAGCTACGGCAACAGGCAGGTTTGAACTGACTGATGCGGGTGCTGGAAACTGAACTTGGTCCTCTGGAACAACAGGAAGCAGTCTTATTAGCTGCTTCTTTAGGCATTTTAAAAAAGAGCTTATTTGATATGATGCACCAGTTTTTACTGTCATCATGGTATTTGTGGCTCAGTTTTTCTCTGCTGCACTAGTATTGTGTATTGCCATTTCTTTTACTACAGAGCACCAGATACAGTATGTTGTTTTTCTTAGGCAAATAATATGAATATGTATGTAATTAAAAAAAAAAAACGGTT